AGACTGAATTTGAAGAAAGAATATTCTATCATGTTGTCTATAAAGATAAGCTTTAGTGGGAAAAGGTCAGGGCTTTAATGAAATAGTTCAAAAGGAAACGTGTCAGACTGCTGTAATACATGACTGGCAATAAATCTGTCAGAAGTTCCTGTACTTCTTCTAACCTCTGGGACCAAAAATCTCTTGTAGTGAGTTTCAACTACAGTGAATTCCAACTCACATAATCAAACGTTCACAAGATAATCAAGAATAGAACCTCCCAGTAGAAGACAAATAAAGGCCCCAACTAATCTTTCAGTAAAAATCTTATGGAGCACTTTTCCCCCATACAATTATATTTCAATTCCTCTTTCATTTTGTGTTAGAATAAAGTCAAGGAGACATTGTCTTGGGACCTAGAACTTGAGTTTATCTTTATGAGATGCCTGTCTGTTTGTTTGTTTGTTTAGAGATGGGCTGTAATAACCTTTGCTCAGGCTGTTGATGAACTCCTGGGCTCAAGTGATCCTCCTATCTCATTCCTCTAGTATCTGGGACTCCTGGTATACACTGGTACTCAGCCCTTTGTGGGCATTTGGAAGTTGGATTGGAAAGATAGCAAATAACTTTTTTGGCAAAGACAAATCTTAGACAATAAGAACAACTATTGACACAGTGATTCTGTGACTCTTAAAACCATCAAAATGGTACCAAACCAATCCAACAAATGCAGGGCATGAGTCGCAGATTTAAAGAATTTCTGACAGGCTAAATTCTAACAGAAAATACTCCCCGGTGTCAGTTCTTAATATAGAGATAAAGTCAAACTCAAGACCACATCACAAAAGTATGAGTTAATGACATGGTCAGTTTCATGTTATAGTGTTGTCCAAATTTTAAAATTTGAAACGAAATGCATTTTAAAATCCAAGTATTAAGTGCTGCTCAAGTTCAACACATGGAAGAATGAGCCAGAATCAGGGATGAAGAAGTCCAGGGAGGAAGTGAGGCAAAGAAAACATGAAGCTCAGAGGAGTCCTCCACAGCCTGCTACCAGCCTGGAAGTCTCTTTGAATGTCTTCTGGAGAGCTGATTTTTCTGATTCCTTGATGACATGCTAGGGACATTTCTGTTGGACCATATGCTCCCACTATATAGGCAGAAACCTCTAAAACAAGTTTCACTTCCTAAGCAAGAATGGGCAAGAATTCTCAATCCCCCTGCCTCAGTCTTCAAGTGCTGTGATGACAGGTGTGCTCTGCCAAACCTGGCTACCAGTCAGTTAACTTCTGACCAGGGTACTAAGGTCTCTGATCTCTTCAAGTAGTGCCAAGAGAACTGGATATCCAAATGCAAATAAACAGAGATGCATGCCTGTTTCCACAGACAAATATTATAGCAAATAAAAGACCTAATTATAAACGTGTGGGAGAAATTATTGGCACAATTCTTCACGATGTTGGAGTTGTGAATCAATGCACAGCCCAATACTGAGTCCAAAGCATGTGCCACACCAGCAACAAAATAGGTGAGTTAATCTTCATTGGATTAAAAATATATATTTTTGCATAAAAAGACACCATCAAGAAAGAAAAAAGACAGACCACAGGAATGGAGGAAAATTTGCGAAAATTATCAATTTGACAAGGAGTTACTGTTCACCTTACAATTCCATGACAATAGAAAGTTTAAAATTCAATTCAAAAATGGACAAAGGACTTAAATAGACAATTCTAAGTAGTCCACCAATGTGCTCAGTATCTTAGTCACAGTGACGAGGCTATTAAATCGTGATCCACAAAGGTTCCTCTTTTAGATACATTCAAAAGGAGAGGGCTCATCGGGAGATGAGTCGTTCCCAAGGGGTGTTTCCACGGTGGATGTGGCAATGAAGACCATCATGGCTCGTCCCCTGTATGAAGGTAGTTGACATGTGATACCAGTGGGTTTTTAGATGGTAAATGGAACAAGCTTTAAAATACTTTTTTAAAAATTGAACTTTCAATTGCATGTACACTTTTATACCAGGTATGTTTTCATGTATGAACTGTCAGAAGTTTTCAAAAGTTAAAGGGATTGCATACAAAAGGCACTGGAGGGGAAGGGGAGTCTTATTTTTGTAGAAAAGAAAGTTTTGGCATCTAGTTCAGGAACACGTCTATAATACCTAGATTCCTGAGGCTCGGATGGCTGCAAGCATGATGGGGCACCTTTCATCTCTGCAACTGGGAGACAGAGGCAGAGGATGAGAGGCAGAGAGGTAGAGAGGCAGAGGCAGAGAGGCAGAGAGGCAGAGGCAGAGGCAGAGAGGCAGAGAGGCAGAGAGACAGAGAGACAGAGGCAGAGAGGCAGAGAGAGGCAGAAAGACGCAGAGGCAGAGAGAGGCAGAGGGAGAGAGGCAGAGAGGCAGAGAGAGGCAGAGAGGCAGAGGCAGGCACATTTCTGTGAGTTTGACGCCAGCTTGGTTTGCAAAGTAGGTTCCAGGACAGACAGAGCTATGTAGAGAGACCTGTCTCAACACAATACAACACAACACACAACACAGCAGAGGCTCAGGTGGAAGCTATGTTCAGTGTAGAAACTGGAGCTGAGCCCCTGAGTGGTGCAGCTGAGTAGCAGCACAGTTGTATTTTTAGGTTTTTGAGGAAGCGTCACACTGATTTCCATAGTGGCAGTACAAGTTTTTTCTCTAGTTACAACAGTGAATTAGAGTCGCCCTTCCCCCACATCCTTGCCAACATTTACAGTCATTTGTTGTCTTGATAATAGTCCTCATCACTGGAGTATGATTTTAATTTGCATTTCCCTGATGGCCAAGGACATTGAACATTTTTAAAAGCATTTCTTAGTCATTTGTGCTTCCTTCGAGAACCGTTCAATTTCATAAACCATTTTACTTGTTGTTTATTTACTTAGCCCAAGATCCATCCATACCATTTAGTTAATTGGGAGAGGGAATACAAAGGTAAACAAAGTATAGAAAGGAAATCAAAAGACAGAGGAATTGGTTAATAAAAACAAGCATCTTTCACCTCTTCTGTATCTTGTTGATTTCGGGGGTACAGGAATTGCTCTGTAAGGCACATGAACATTGATCTAAGTTAAACAGGGACGGTATATTGACTGTATACCCCAGGAATGATCGATCAAGGCAACAGTTCAAAGCTGGACATTTCTCAGGGTCAGCTTATAAAGGCTAAACCTGCAAAAACTGCAATGAGCTCATACAGAGGTGCTGGAAGTGCTGCAGAGTGGTCAGCCCTGACTGAGCCATTTTAGACATAAATAGTTCATATTGACTTTTAATTTCATAGGTCCTACATGAAGCTTATATTGTGAAATTTCTTAAGATTAACAAACCTCATAACATACAGAACACAACAGGGTCAACTTATTTTTCTGCATCAATTAATGGCAGGCAGATTACAGCAACAATATGAAATAGCTGGCAGGCATGGAACAAAATGGGTACAGCTATGGGGGATAAGCAGATGGTACATGGACCATTTATTAACCCTGTTATCTCGATGTTTGATTTCTAAGTCCTTTGTATATTCTAGGCACCAATTCTGTCAGGTGTATCATTGGCAAAGATTGTCTCCTATGTTGTAGGCTGTCTCTTCATTCCATTAACAGAAGCTTTTATAGTTTGTAAGATCCCACTATCTCCATTTTGGGCCCTATTTCCTGGAATCCTATTCAGAAAGTCCTTGTGTGTGCACATATTTTCCGGCATACTCACTACTTTAACTTGTAGCGGTTTCAGAGTTTGAGAGCCAACACTGAGATCTTTGAGCCACTGGAATTGATTTTTATCCAGAGAGATAAGGATCCAATTTCATTTTTCTATATGTAGATATCCAAATTTCCCAGAATCATTTGAAGAGCAAAATAGTGGAAAATCATGCAGATTTTATATGATGACTGGCAGGGTGGGGGTCTGAGCCCATGCAAGCTGTCTAGTTCATCCAGTACTAGCTGCCCTTGCCTGAGCTAGTTGACTCTGGGGGGAAGGTTATGGGTGGGTCCCGGTGAAGAGAAACATTTAGGCTTCTTTATCCAACAACAACCCTTCTGTTTACCTAGCCAGAGTCTTCCTGTTCTGGGTACAGTTACCAGCACTGCCTGCTTAAGGGAATGGGGGTTTTGGGACTTCTCCAGTGAGTACTTCTGTTTTCTTTGTCAAAAATGAGGTAGCTGTAGTTCCATGAACTTCTGTCAGGGACCTTGTTCTATTGCACAGACCTGGGTGTCCAGTTGGTTTTTGTTACTGTTGAGTCACATGTCTTATCATTGCATTTTCTACAAGGATTGAGCAGGAAGTGCTAGGGTTATTGATGGGTAAGGTGCATTTTTGTTTTTTTATAATTATTTTCTCTGTTTTCTACAGTGAATGTATATTACTGTTAATTGTGTTCTGGGAAGGGAGGAAGAGGTGATGGAGAAAGGCTGTCTACCAGGTGTAGTGATGCAGTTAGGAGAAATAACTCCCAGCGTTCTGTAGTACTGCTGGATGACTGTGGCTGTTAACAATCTTGTATTCCAAAATGGCTAGTCCAAGAAATGCTCAATGTTTAAGAAAATCGGTTGATCAGTGACTAATTTGATCATTATACACTTGTACACGTAAATATGTACACATGAAAATACAATCTGGAAAGAAAATAATTTTAAAAATTAGTGGCTCAAAAAAATAATTAGTGGCTGGGATAAAAGTTGCTATTAGGGGGGAAAAGGTCTGTAAACCCAGGAGTATGAGGAGGTATGCTGTAGAAATGTCCTCGTGTGTCCCTGGCCAACCCTCAGCATCCCGGACCTCTGCAGAAGCACTGATTATCATCAGGGTGGAAGGAGTTCATATCTCTGAGACCTGCTGTGTTCCCAGATACAAGCCATGGCTAAGTTTACCAAGTTTACACAGCTAGACAGATTCCAAGGTTGGTGTGGGCAGGAGCAACCTGGCAGGTTGGCTGGGTTTACTCGAATGTGAGCATGTTGTTGGTCTTTTTTCTTTTTTCCAGCTCGCCCTTGCTTTGTGGGAGAATGGAGTCCCTGGAGCAGCTGCGCAGGTCAGTGCCAGCCCACTACGCGTGTGCGCAGGCGTTCAGTGCATCAGGAGCCACTAAACGGAGGGGCTCCCTGCCCACCCCTGGAAGAGAGAGCCGGCTGCCTGGAGTACTCCTCATCACAGGGCCAGGATTGCGGGCACGCCTTTGGTATTGGTGTTCTCATGGCTGCTGTCTTTGTTGCTTTTGATGACTTTTTGCCACTTCCTGAAAGGTCATGTGGTGCTCAGGGAAAGTTCCATTAAGTGCAGGGAGTGGGATGGACTAGTCTGCCCGAAGTAGATAGGCAGTTCAGGAAATGCTTTTTAAGGGGGTGAGTAGCCAGCTGCACAAATGCCTCTTTTTCCCTTGCTTCCCTCAGGGTTTTTGGTTTTCGTGATTGTTTTTAAGGCAATGGTCCTTTCAGTTTTGCATGGACTCAGTAGTAAACACATGAATGTACCGCCAACTGATTCAACTGATTGACCGTTTCCCCTCTTACTGAGCACTGAACTATATACTAGTCAAGTACTCTACCACTGAGCGACACTCCAGCACTTACACGCATGCACTCGGATTTCCCTCCTGCACTCGGTTTTTGGCAATCAGTTAAGCTAGTGACAGAGGAAGTTAGACATTTCACACAGGAGAGCAGTCATCTAGCCAAGGTAACCTTTCCACTTTCATCATGATTTTGTTAATCCCACTGGGTGAGAATAAAACCACCGCTGTGTTTCTGAGCCAAATTTGAAGCAAGCCTTATTAAATACTGGTCAGAACGATGGACACTGGACAGATCCATACCCAGGATCCCCAGAGAATGGTCGCGAATGATGTCAGCCAGGTACTTATAAAGGCTAACCTCACGAGGTTACATACTTCCTGTCTATATATCTGCCTTTTACGTGTGATCAAATACACCCTGTGCTGTGGGGGTAACCAATCTTGGTTACTGGAATGAAAACATATGACTTACTACCTTACCTGAACAACAGCCCCCAGCATTCTGGGAAGTTATCTGTCCTTGAGCAAGGGAAGTTTACAGGGTAGAGGGGTTTTTGTTTTATAGATCTCTGGAGCACAGTAATTAAGACTTAAAACATAGCCGGGCGGTGGTGGCACACACCTTTAATCCCAGCACTTAGGAGGCAGAGGCAGGCGGATTTCTGAGTTCGAGGCCAGCCTGGTCTACAGAGTGAGTTCCAGAACAGCCAGGGCTATACAGAGAAACCCTGTCTCGAAAAACCAAAACAAAGAACAAGAAACAAAACAAAAGACTTAAAACGTAACTTTAGCCTCATAATTTCTGATTAAACAGAATTTTAAATTTTTTTTTATTTTTATTTTTTTGTTTTTCGAGACAGGGTTTCTCTGTGTAGCCCTGGCTGTCCTGGAACTCACTCTGTAGACCAGGCTGGCCTCGAACTCAGAAATCTGCCTGCCTCTGCCTCCCAAGTGCTGGGATTAAAGGCGTGTGCCACCACTGTCTGGCTTAAACAGGACTTTTAATTTATGCACTCGCAAATATGAAAAATGGAAGAAAACCAATACATTTCTGAACAATGATAAAATGATCTTTGGAAACACTTGCCTCGCCTTTCAGGCTGACTGGACTGGAGCTGTGAGTCAGCTGAGAAGGTTGTTTTCTGAGTACAGTGGCAGGCACATATACTCCAAGCTACTCCAGAGCAGAAAGAGAGATCATTAAATCAAAGAGTTCAAGGCCACCTTGAACAACATCATCGGAGCCCATCTCAACAAATACACAAACAAACAAAAAAGAAGAAAGAGAGATGAGTATGGCGTGGAGTAGCTGATGAAGGGGGCGAAGAGACTGGTTCACTAATTCGCCAGAAACTGTGAGTCTTAAAAGGAGATAAACGGAGGCCAACACCAGTGTGTTGCTCTGGACTGAATCCAGTGCAGCAAAACATTGGCTCTCCTGGGTAGAAAACACCATATGTTTTGTATAAACCTGGAAATCTTTACATCAATGTGATCTTTATCAAACAATTTCATTCTTTCTCTTTTTCCACATACACATATTTATCTGCTGAATGTCAATTTGGTGCCAGACACAAGCTATATGGTGGGCTATTGTGGCGGGGGAGGGGGAAATTGATGTGAGACCCAAAGTCTGGATATCCCAGTTTAGTGGGAAGGGACATAACATCCGATGATCCCAGAAAGTTTATCCTAGAAAGTTTTATCTGTGTTAATTTGTCCAATGGAAGCAAACAAATCAGTCATCAGGACTAATTCTGAATCATTTTCACCTTGAAGGACAGGAATTATTTTTTTTGGAGATGAGGCCAAGAAATCTTGAGTTGCCCAGAAGAAAGGCTAGCTTGCTTAAACCTGATAGTCAGTTGTAAGCAGATGGAAGATTAAAGCCAACATCAGACCACAAGAGACAAACCTAAACGGACAGTGCTTGAGCATGGCAGCCTGGGGTCTTATAATATTAGGTTCCTGTCTCATCAATGGTGCCACAGGTGGGCAAGCGAGCCCTAAATGCTAAAAAGCTGCTTGTGTGATTAAGGTGTATGCATTCATGTGTTAAGGAACACATGTATGTACATGTATGTATACATGTGTGCATACATATGGAGGCCAAAGGACATCCTCCAATGTCTTTCCTCAGGTGCTGTTTCCTTGTTCTTTCAATAAGCTCTCTCACTGATCTGAAACTGAGCAATTAAACTAGGTTGGCTGGTCACTGAACCCCAGGGGTCTGCCTTTCAATGCTTCTCTAGACCTAGGATTCCAAGCTCAGAGCCCACCTCCCCCAACCCCCGCCCCTATGTCTGGTTGTTTTTCTCTGGTTTCTGGGGATCAGACTCAAGTCCTCAAGCTCTTTACTGACTGAATTGCTCCTCAAGCCCTTGTTTGGCTATTTAAAAAACTGAATGTGAGAAATTTGGGGGTTGGTGCCAGCAAGCTTTTGAACTACAGAGAACTCTATTTTTGGATTCTTGTCTTTTTCCGAAGAGCCTTGGAAAGTCATTGAGGTGTTTTCTGCAGGGACCATGTAATCAGACCTGGGGTTGTAAAGATCACAGTGGAGGGCTTTGGTAGTGGCCTATCATTGATGTGGTGGCCACATTAAGCTCAGGGAGAAATAATTATTCAGCTCCAAAGGGGCCATTCACAGAAGCAGTTATGGTTCATACTCACTCCAGGCCCTCGGCAGAAACACAACACAACAGGCCCAGCAAGATGGTTGTTGCATGGCTATTGGTTTTTGGTGGCTCATAAGTCCTGGAGCCTACCTAACAAGAAGAGCATCTATGCTATTCATTCATAGTATTTGGATGCCGGAAGGGTTTCTTCAATGCCCAGGCCATTGTACTTCCCAGTCTTGAATCTCTAACTTACACCCAGGGGACAGTGTGCCCCAGGAGAACTTGGTTCATGCTCTGAGCCCTGGATGTCTCTCTTCTGTCTAGAGGTGCTTACTTTTTGTCCAGTAGCTCCAGATCTGCTTCCTAACTCCTCTTCCACATGGTCCCAAATCTCCATCTTACAGCTCCAGTCAACACACCCCACTGAGGATTTGATGTGACAGTCTTTTTCTCTTGCTTCTTGAAGCTGCTAATGGCCTTGGTTTACACTGGTGTAGACTTTGTGTTTATACTCTTTTCCTAAGCATAAATAACAACCTCCTAGTTTGCAAAGAAGAGGGACATCTTCACAGTTTTAATCCCCAAGGTTAGTTAATCTCCCACTCCAACCCCCCGGAGGGAATGAATTACAGTGGTGATTCCAGTTACAGGGTGGCTGGGGAATAGAATGCCCATTGAATATTGCACTGCAGTGGTTCCTAACATGAGCCCCTGGACCAGGAGTGTCTGGACCACTTGGAAACTCATTAGAAATATAAGTTTCTGGGGTCTGACCCAGACCCATGAGATCAGAATACCTGGGGTAGGTTCAGAATTCTGTCTGAATTTTAACAAACCTTTCTGGATTGACCAGTGGTCACTAGAGTTTCAGAATACCCCAAACATGGCCATGTACCTATGCCTATGTCATGGCTGGCAAAAGTTTCCAAAGCTCATCTTCTTTTGTAATAATAATGTGAAAAAAAGGGAATATGTTTTTTCTACCAAAGGACCTTACAGAACTAATGATGATTGGGTCAAGTCAACTCTGCAAAGGATGTAGATTGTGCAGGGTTTCCTTAACATGTTTAATTAAACAAACCTCCCCAACCCCAGGAGCAACTAAGTAAAATCACTAGTGTTCATGAAAATGTGTTAGAAGAAGAAGAATTAGGGGAAGAGGCAAGTGAGAGGCAGAACATCTGGTTTGGTGGATTCTTCTGTGCCTGTTCAGCTCCTGCTCCTTCAGACTCTGTGAGCTTGGGTAGAAGTCCCAGCTAAGGAGCACACTGTTCTCACAGACTTGAAGACTGGTCCTCCTTCACTGGGACAGATCCTCCTCTTCAGCTAAACACACAGCCTCAGAAAGGATGAAAATGGAAAAATGTCAGGGAGGAAGGGGACACCTGCCCAGCAAGCCAGATCAATGCAACCAAACCTGGTGATCAGAGGGGAGACGTGTCATGGCCAGGTCACACATTCATTAAACACCGAGTACTTGCTTCGTGCCATGACTGTGGTAGGTTTTAGAGATCCAAACCCAAACAACAAGTATATCACAGGATGCTGCAGCTCTGGCTCATGAGCACTATGCTAGGAAGATTCTTGGGTCAACTGCTGGAATCCACACAGTAGATGGGAGACAATCAACTCCTGCTAGTTCTCCTCTAACCTCTGCACACTCCCTCTGGGATGCACCAAGCACTACCCCCAATTTTAAAAGTGTGTGTTTCTTGATGTGGGAGCACGGAGGAAAGCCCACCTCAGTGGAAGTGCATTTGTTCTGCCTGTGGTGACATGTTTGTACATCTACCACAGTTCTTGTTCATGGAGCATGAGCCTGGTCACATGGGATAGTTGTACCTCGCTATTAAATGACATAGATATTTTTTGTTTGCCTGTTTGTTTTTGAAACAAGACCATGATCATGTAGCCCAGGCTGGCCTTAAAGTCTCTATGTACCTGTTGGTGACCTTGAACTTCTGATCCTCCTGTTGTCCCCTTCCAAGTGCTAGGATTACAAACTCTCATGGTCCTGTAGGGCATAATTCAGCAGGTCGACCTAAAGCTACTAAAGCTAGTGGGTCAGAAAGGGCATATTCCTTTCTGAAGGATCTTTGGGAAGGTCTTCTACAGGTTGTGAGCGATGAATGGAGCTTGTGGATTTAGCCAAGAGGAACCTGAGCGTGATGTTGAACATACAGCCTGGGTTCTTCTTGCTGCTTTTAGTAAATTACAAGCAAAAAGAGATACAGAAGGAAAAGAAAATATTTAATCTTAATGGAATCAGGATTATAAATTGGTTAATTCTCAGTTTATGAAAGATGGCAGAACAGTGGTGATGACATTAGCTCTTAGGAAAGCAGGCTCTAGGAAAAACACCAGTGGTGTGGCTGTAAGGTCGCTTAACATCTCCGAGAGCTAAGGTGCCACCGATTTAGTGATCTAAACAATTTATTATCTTACAGTTCTCGAGGTCAGAAATTGGATACAAGTTTCACTAGGTTGAGGTATCAGCGGGGCTGCATTCCTTCCTGGGATGTAAGGGGTCAGTCTCTTTTTGACATTTTTTCTCTTCACTGTTCGTGGGCCTAGCCTTTAACGGCTAAGCCATCTCTCCAGCTGGCTTTTTCATCGTGCGGAGACTAACTATTCCTTGTCTCACAGTCCTGTCCATGGGCACAGCTAATAACATTGCATCTACCTAGGCCTTTTTTTCTGAAATCACATCCTTCTCCCAGCAGATATTTTAAAAGTCCCTAGCAATTACCTGGGATCTGTCTAGAAGATGGAGAACCTTCTATTTCAAATTCAACTGAGGAACGACTTGAATCCCATCTAACGTCCCATTCGTTCTGGAGATTGGGACTTGGACATCTCGAGGGTATGGGTGTGCCTCAGGCACGATGCTTGCCTTATACTCTTACACAAGGAGACACTAGAGTTCCGGAAGGTGATTAACTGTTCGTGGCTATCAGGACTAAAGCTTCACCCTGTAGCTACAAATCCTGGGCTGCTTCCTCTCCATATTGTCATTAAAATTAGGATTATAGACTTTGGTGACTAAGTCAAAATATAAAAGCCCCATGAAGCCTGTGAACATGACTATTCTCTTCTAATGAGTTTTTCTCATTAAACTTAAGGGATATAATTATATTTTATCTGAAAAACAAATATAAAAAACCTGAACTATTGCACATTACTAAAGTTTATGCGTATTTTTCTCCCCACAAAAGACCAATGTGCATTAACAATAAACAATATTTCCAGGTAGGGGTTATTTGCCAAATTTCCCTTTATTCTCTTCTGTGTTGTATGCACAGAGAGGAGATTCTAAGCCTGCTTTTGTGGCATGCCTTGTGTCAGAGGGCTATGAAACTCTCAAAGCAAACTTCATTTACTTTCAAGTTCAAAGGAAATATGTGTGGTGCCCTGCTTTTTTTTTTTTTTAAGTGAAACTTGTTGTAAAAGTGAACAATGGTAGGTTCATAGGTTGCCAAAAAGTTGGCAAATGGCCTCTGAGCGAAGGCGATATTCCATATGAACAGGGCTGCCAACAAGGGAAAAGGAATGGGGAAGGCGTTTATGGAGAGACTGTGTCCTGAGGCGCCAGCTATGCGCTTCCACACAGAAGCAGAGGTGGGACTGAAGGCAAAAATAACTTTTAAATTATTTACAACCCTCAAGATATGAAAATTAAACTTGTGGATTATTATTAAAGACTGGCTTTGGTTCAAAGTGCTGCAGGCCATCTGGCTCCAAGTCTGTGTGCTGAAGACTCATGTGTGGGGGAGGGAAATCATGGATACAAACCCTGCAGTCACTGGAATAGGAGCAGACAGGTTCCTCAGGAATGCTTTGCCTTTTAAGATGTGCCATAAGTCAGGGACACTAAGGCTCAGGCAAGAGGATTCAGACTGGAAAACCAGCCTGGGCCACATATCAAGACTCTGTCCCCAACCAAAGAAAGAAACAAATAACAACAACAATAAACATTATAAAACAGACTATAAGCACAGAAACTAAACAAGAATAGGGGGACTCCTGCAGTCCAGACTGGCCTTGAACTTCTGATTTCCATACATCTATCTCCTGAGTGATAGGATCATATATATGTGTATATATAACATATATAAGCATATATGTTATACATGTGTATATATATATATGTGTGTGTGTGTGTGTGTGTGTGTGTGTGTGTGTGTGTGTGTGAGTGTGTGTGTGATTATATATGCATGTTGTTATTGCTGTTGTTTTCAGTGCTAGGGATAGACTCAGGGCTTCGTGCTAAGAGAATGTTCTACTAACTGAGCTATATTCTCAATCCCTGGACAGTAAAGTCTAAAGACCAGAAGGTAAAAGCCAGACATGGTGGATGTGCTTATAATGCCAGTGTTGATAAGCTGGAGTCAAGTGATCTCTAGAGATCAGAGGCCACAGTGACACTAGCCAGCCTCACTAGAGACCCTGTCTCATAAAACAAGGCAGACAGCTGCCCAGGACTGACATCTCAAGTTGGTCCTGACTTCCTTGTGCCTGAGCACACACATACACATCTGGTCCTGGCTTTGTCTGTGAAAACTGTGTATACCTTACCATTTGGAAAGGTCAGTTCCTCTGGGCTCACACATCTGTATTTTCTTGTAGCTGCTGCCCCTACAACTGGTGCTGCTGCACCAGCCAGAGCTGAAGCTAAGAAAAGGTCTGAGGAGTCAGATAAAATTTGGTCCCTGACTAATCCTCCCCAAACACTTAACTCTGCTGATTTTGTCTGAGAAACAAGTAAACAAAGGGTTACTCTTCTTAAAAACAGAAAGAAAGGAAGAAAGAAAGAAAGGAAGGAAGGAAGGAAGAAAGAAAAAAAGAAAGGAAAAAAGAAGAGAGGAAGAAAGAGAGAAAGAGAGAAATAAAGAAAACAAAACAAAAGAAAATCTGAAAAAGAATCAAGGCCTGCCATCTTGTGGCTGTCAGGTGCCAGGAAAATCAAGATGTAGTTTGAAGGCCATTTTCCCTTTTAAACTAGCACCCTCTGGCCAGTTTGCTCACGTTAATGATTTTAGCATTTAAAACCCAGCCGTAGCCTCTGACTGCCCCATCTAGATTGTCCAGTTTCTAAAGCAAAAGGCAGGAGAGGCTGCTGAGTTACTCACAGGCTCTGTCCATACAATCTGTAGATTCACCCAAGCAGGACACTGCCTTTTCCTCTCTTGTCTATTTCTTCTTCCTTCACTTTCTTATGTTGTAGTCTCCACTACAGCTTTCTTTTCCTCGCCTCTCTCCATTTGCTTTTATATCTGCGGGCTTTTCTTTTGGTCCCTCCTCTTCCTTTACAAGTTCATTCCCGGAGGCAAAAGTGATCACCAGAGGCCTTCCCGCTCCCTTCAGAGCTGTCTAGATGCCTATGAATACTGAGTGAGTGTGTCAGAAGATGCTGCAGCAGTCTCATTTAATACTGCCCACTAAGATCTTTGGCTCTGGAAATAGAGACCTCAGACAGGCACAGAACCCAGTTTGGGAAACCTTACTGAGTACTTTGGCTGCACAACTACAATGTAATTCTTTCTTTTCTAGTTCCTGCCTTCATAACTAGCTCTGCCTTCAACAAGAAGAGAATAATGCAAGCCGTATATCCACAGTGGTCTATACACACTGAGGACGCTGGGTAATTTGTTGCTTTAAAATTACTGTTATGTTCTCCTCCCTTCCTCCCTCCCTCCCTCCCTTCCTCCCTCCCTCCCTCCCTCCCTCCCTCCCTCCCCGCCTCCCTCCCTCCCTTCCTCCCTCCCTTCCTCCCTCCCTCCTTCCTTCTCCCCCTCTGGTTTCCAGAGACAGTGTTTCCCTGTGTTGCCTTGGCTCTCCCATAACTCACTCTGAAGTGAGTGGCTTGGAACTGAGAAATCCACCTGCCTCTGCTTCCTGAGTGCTGGGACTAAAGGCGGGCACCACCATGCCTGCCTTTCCAAGTCTTTCAAAAAGATTGAATTTGTTTTGACTTTGTTTTCTTATGCTTGCTCATTAACTTTGAGTAAAACATGACTCCACTGTGAACTTGGAAAGTACTTGTCTTCTTCCTGGTTTTGTGATGATGTAATTGTGTGTCTCTTGGGCTTATCTCTGAAAAGAAACAAATACAAAAATGAGGTATTGTGTGTTGAACAAGTGCATGGAAGCTCCTCTGAGAGTCTTTTCAGACAGGATCTCATCAAATAGTCCAGCTGTTCTGGAACCCAATATACACCAGGCTGGCCTTGAACTCACAGAGAATGCAACACCACACCCAGCAGCTTCCAATAGTCTTCATAAACTGTTTTGTGAATCTGAAAGTTGCACACTCGTTCATTCAGAGGGCTTCCCATTGACAGGACATGCACAGGCAGGAAGGCACCTCCATGCTTACCTGGACCCACTCTTCTTCCATCAGATAAGGGAGATCTAACAATCAAACATTCAGATCCCCAGGCTGCTTACTAGTGATTTTATTAATAGTTATTTTTTTTATTTTTTAATAGTTATTTTTATTCTCAAAAAATATAATATTTAGCTGAGCAAGGTGGTGGCACACTTGTTTCCCTCACATTCCGGATGGGTGGAGTTAAGAGGATCAGGAGAGTTCAGGGCCGGTTACACTGCTGAGTGTAACCAATTGAACCCAATCTGAGTTATGTGAGTCCCGACCTCAGTTTCATGTATGTACATATGTATGTGTGTATGCATATATGTATTATCCATGTATGCATACACTGTGGGCACTGTGACACATTTGTAATGCCAGCACATAGACTGAGGCAAGAGAATTGCTACTAGTTGAGCTTGAGCCACACGGTGAAGCCTTGCCTCAAAAATAAGGAATGAGTGATACTTACCATGTGAGGTTGACATGGCTCCTTAAGACTTCCTACAATACTGGGCCACTTCTGAGTAGAGTAAGTGTCCTCTTGACTTTTGCTCCAGATACTGTATGGAGTTCAAGACAGAGTCCCTGACTCCTCACTGTGCTCTGGACAACCGTCCCCTGACTCGATGGATGCAGTATCTCCGTGAGGGATACACAGTGTGTGTGGACTGTCAGCCTCCAGCTATGAACTCTGGGAGCCTGCGTTGTTCTGGAGACGGTCTGGACTCTGATGGGTAAGGAAGAACAACTGACCTAGTTTCCTGCTTCCCCTGAGGAGTTATCCTTTTAGGTCATAAAGAGCTGAGCCATATGTAGCATAGCAACGCAGGATGTGGCAGCAAGGAGAACCTGTTCCGGGACTCAAACCCAGGACTTTGGTTCTCACTATGGGACTCAGAGGCTCTTGACCAGAAATACACAGACCAGTTTGGTTATTGGGGTTCATTTCATATGAAGCTCCCCAAAGACTACCAAAAACCTGATAACCCCAAAGGTGCTATAGAACACTTGATTCTGAATCTCTTGGGTTAGAGACTTAAGACTCTGCCATGTCCCTGGCCCTACTTTTATGACCAAAAGAACTAGAGTTTTAGTAAACTCTTAGGTTAGGCCTAAAAACTTTTTCTATAAAATGTCAGAAAGCAGTTATTTCTGGCTTTTCATCCACTACACTCTGTCATAACTACTAACTCTGACATTGGTCATTAAAGCAGCTATTGATAGTATTTAAACCTTGGCTTTGTTCTAACAAAACTTTGTTTGTTGTTGTTGTTGTTGTTTGTTTTTTCGAGACAGGGTTTCTCTGTGTAGCCCTGGTTGTCTTGGAACTCTCTGTAGACAAGGCTGGCCTCGAACTCAGAAATCTGCCTGCTTCTGCCTCCCAAGTGCTGGGATTAAAGGCGTGCACCACCACCGCCCGGCTCAAAACTTTATTTGTAAGTACCAAAAAGATTTTGGATGGTGTGATGGTTTATATATGCTCAGCCCAGGGAGTGGCACTATTAGAAGGTGTGGCCTTGTTGGAATAAGTGTGTCACTGTGTGTGTGGGCTTTAAGACCAGCATCCTATTGCCTGGAAGCCAATCTTCTTCTAGTGGCCTTCAGATGCAGAACTCTCAGCTCCTCCTGCAATATGTCTCCCTGGACAATGCCATGGTCCTACTGTGATGAACTGGACTGAGCCTCTGAACCTGTAAGTCAGCCCCAATTAAATGTTGTACTTAAAAGAGTTGTCTTGGTCATGGTGTCTGTTCACAGCAGTAAAAACTAAGACAGAAGTTGGTACCAGGGACTGGGGTATTGTTGTGATAGGCCTGACCATGCTTTTGTTTGGAAGAATGTGGATTTAGAAAGCAGTGGAATGCTTTAAATGGGGTTTAATGGACTACCCTAGTAGGAATATGGAAGACTTTGTTGGTGAGAGAGATTTGAACTATGAAGACCTGGCCCAAGTGGTTTCACTAGAGAATTTTAATATGTAGCCTAGAGATTGTTTTTGTGGGATTTTGGTGAAGAATGTGACCGCATCTTATACTTGTATGAAGAGTCTAGCTGAGGCTAAGATTAAAAGATTTTTATTAATAAATATATTTATATTAATTACGTTGACAAAAATAAATCTCAAAAAAGCCCAGCAGAGACTTTGTTCTCTGGTTAAGTATCACAAAGAGCATTTTGAACAAGCATAGCAAGTTTAGAAAGAAAAAAATTAAAATATATTGTTTGAGTATCAAAGGGGCACCAGGAAGTGAAATGGAGCTGTCCTGTGTTCAAGGACATTAAATTGAATTAAGGCAGTAGTGAACTTGGGGTGAGATCCCACCCAGCCAAGTTTAGGTCCAGGCTTGGAAGTGCAACTCTTTAATCCCAGGAGGCAAAGATCAGCAGATCTTTGAGTTCATGGACAGCCAAAAACAGAGCAAGTTCTAGGTGAAGAAAAGCTTAAATCCAGGCTTGTTGGATCACAGCTTAAATTGATGCTGGTTAGCTGGAGCTAAGAAATTAGTGGTGATTAAGAAGAGACCAAACCGGGCAGTGGTGGCGCATGCCTTTAATTCCAGCACTTGGGGGGCAGAGGCAGGCGGATTTCTGAGTTGGAGGCCAGCCTGGTCTACAGAGTGAGTTCCAGGACAGCCAGGGCTACACAGAGAAACCCTGTCTCGAAAAACAAAAACAATAACAAAACAAACAAACAAAACAAAAAAAGAAGAAGAGACCAGCATCACTGAGGCGAAATCTTCTAGGAAGTGTTTTCTGAGAGCACAAAGAAGCTGTTCCAGAGGTAGCCAAGGTTGTACCTTGTGTTGCAGCTGTAGTTGGTGATGTGTAAGAGTCATCCAGGTGGTACTGGTTTTGAAGGCATGAAGAGCAGCTGAGGCTTGGCACAGTGAGAGGTCATGGAAGGCCATTGGTGAAAGTGCAGCCTCAGTTGCAGTTGATGGTCCAGGACTGAAGGAGTCATGCAAAGGATTTGAGGTATGGCACAATGAAGAGAGCCTATGAGAGGCTATTGGTGAGGCGTAGTTGCAGCAGAAGACCACAGTGTATTTGGAGATGCCAGTACCATGGGATGATCACCAAGAACAGCAGCAGCAGTGGAGTGGATCAACACGAGCTTAGAGTGCTACAGAGGGCAGAGCTGGAGAAATGACACCAGGCCTTTGGAGGAGCCCAGAAGATCATATGTGGATCCCAGACATTGAAACAAGAAGCTGTAACAGTGAAGTTGCTTTGGAGACCCCAAAATGTTTGAGATGCCAGAGCCATGGGCTATCTGCTGAGAAAAGCTGCTAACAGGGAGTGAAACCAGCCCAGGAGAAAGAAGTTTGTTGCAGTCAACAAAGATGAAAAAGGAGTTGGAGATCTGCAGACAGCTTTGACATCATCATGGAGATGCAGAGTTGGGAGTTTGCCCAGCTGGTTTCCTGTCTTGCTTTGGGGATTACACTTAAGTGATTGGATGAATCTCAGAAGAGACTTTGAACTTAGGACTTTGAACATTGTTGATTGCTGTATGCTATGGGAACCTTTGAAGTCAGACTAAATGTCTTTTGCGTTATGTTATGTTTAGGTATGGCCCCCATAGACTCATGTGTTTGAATAAGCCTGTGTGGGTCAGAAAGTGGAATGAGACGGTTTGTATATGCTCAGCCCAGGGAGTGGCACTATTTGAAGGTGTGGCCCTGTTGGAATAAGTGTGGCCTTTTTAGAATAGGTGTGTCACTGGGAAGGGTGCTTTAAGACCCTCATCCTAGCTGCCTGAAAGCCAGTCTTCTCCTGCCTGCCTTTGGCTGAAGATGTAGAACTCTCAGTTCCTCCTGTACCATGCCTGCCTGGACACTGCCATGCTCCTACCTCAATGATACTGGACTGAGCCTTTGAACCTGTAAGCCAGCCCCAATTAAATATTGTCCTTAAAAGAGTTGCCTTGGTCATGGTGTCTCTTAACCGCAGCAAAACCCTAACTTAGACAGATGACATTCATGTGCCATGAAATACTCTTTTGATTTTTTTTTTAATCTTTGTTACTGTTTGATATAGCATCCCCACTCTATCCAAGGATAGCCTGGAATTTACTACATAGGTTAAGGTACCCTAGCACTCATGGCAAACTTTCAGAGTCAGCCTCATAAATACTGTGATTATAAACATTGGCTACTACGTCTGCCTTCTGATTCTTATGTTTTTGGTTGTGAGCCTAGCCCTTTATGGCTGAGACATCTCTCCAGCCCTGCTTTCTGATTCTTAACAACATAGAAATTGGAGCCGGAAAGCTGGTTCAGCAGTTAAGAGTGTATGCTGCTTTTGCAGAGGACCCAGGTTCACTTCTCAGCACCCAGGTCTGGTGGCTCACAACTGCTATCTCATTTTGGCTTTTTGGGTTCCTGAACAGACAGACCCACACACACATTACATAAGTAAAATCAGTAAAATCTTAAAAACAAAAAAACCCCACCATTCATCCTTACCTCCCAAGTCCATTCAAAAAGAGGGGGTGGGCAAGATAAGTGGTCACACTGTGCTAGCTCTGCCCAGGTAATTCACACTCCAGTAATTGTGTCTCCCTGCAAACCTCTCCCAGCTCTGCACTCACTTTTGGTTAGACCTACTAATGCCATTTACAGCTAGAAGGAATCCCTGCAACAGCTCTGGACAAGGACCAATTTAGCCACACACACATAAAGGTCTTCACCATGTCAGGTGTAACTGGTAAAAACAGATTACAAGTCAAAGGCTGACCTTTCCAGTTAATCATTATTCCCATCACATTTTAATATTTAATAATTTTGCTCATGTTTATTAGCCACTTGTGCCTCGCTGTCTCTACTGAGCTCACCATATGAGCAATAAAGTGGGTAAGGAATTCATATCAAATGAAACCTAATATTTGGATTTAATGCTTTTCTGAATACCTCATCTCTATTTTGACTTTAAATGAATTTATAATTCAATTTGTACCCAATAAAGAAAGCGCCTAACCCCTGGTTGCTGTATGCAGGACTTAATTAATAGTATCTTTAATTCTCTGGCTTGGCTCCCTTGTAGTTCTTGCACTTTTCATTATGAAAGCAGAGAGTTGGAATAAGATGAGAGTGACCTTCTGGGTAGACAGGGCCTCCTGATAACCTGCACACACCACAGCTGCAGTGCCTACATCCACCTGAGAGGAATGGACATGGAGGCCAGCAGCAGCTCTCTGAACCAGTGCTCGTGCATAGGGATTGATTCGTAACTTATACTGTCAGAGCCCAGGAAAAATAAGTCTTCTTCGTGACTATAAAGAAGGTGTGGGGGGCTAGAGATGGTTCTTTGGATGAGAGTACTGGATACTCTTCCAGAGAACCTGGGTTTGATTCCCAGCACCCACATGACAGCTAACCCCAGTTCCCGGGGGATCCAATATTCTCTTCTGGGCCCCACAGACATACATTTGGGCAAAACATTCATACATGTAAAATTAAAAATGAATAAATAATTGAAAAACTGACTTTTAATAAGTTTTGAAACTGTGTGATCACTATCTATATTAGTTATGGTTCTATTGCTGTGATAAAACATCATGATCAAACGCAGTTTGGAAAGTAAAGGGTTTATTTAATCTTACTAAGTCTATCATTGAGGGAAGCCAGGGCAGGAACCTGCAGGCAGGGACTGGAGCAGAGACCATGGAGGAACACAGCTTACTTGTTTTGTTCCTTATGGCTTGCTTAGCCTTCCTTACAGCACCCCCGGATCATCAACCTAGGGATGGCCCTGCCCACAGTGAGCTGACTCCTCCCCTATCAAGCATCAATTAAAAAAAATGTCTCACAGGCTTGCCCACTGGCCAATCTGGTGGAATAGTTTTCTTAGTTGAGGTTCCCTCTTCCTGGATGGCTCTAGCTTGTATCAAATTGACATAACACCAGCCAGCACATTAGTTTTAAAACAATGGTTAGAGAGATGGCTCAGCAATTAAGAGCACTCGCTGCTCTTGCAGAGGACCTAGATTCAAATTCAGTCCCGACACCCACATAGAGGCTATCAACCCAGCTCCAGGGGACCAAGCACCCTCTCTACCAGATATTCATAGAGTGTACTTACATATGTACAGACAATCACACACACAAATTAAAAACACTAACTCTTTAAATAAGTTCTAATCATGTAGAATTTCCTCTGGCTTGACTTTAGTAAAACCTACATTTCTCCAATATCATTTCAGAAATCAGACTCTTCGCTGGCAAGCCATCGGCAATCCTCGATGTCAAGGAACCTGGAAAAAAGTGCGTCGAGTAGAACAGTGCTCATGTCCAGATGTGCACCGCTTCATTTTTATATAGAGCCCTGGGAGCTACTTCACAGCATGCTTGTGAATGGGCTGAGTGTTGACAAGCTGCGTTCAAAGCTTCAGAAGCCTCCAAAAGCTGTGCCAAGGACCTAGATACTTGCCATTGCTAGCTTTGCCATTGAGAAAGAAGACTTAGGGATAGTTTTCAAGATAGATCACAGCCTCTTTGTTTTTATTTTTAATGAGTTAACGACCCATACTAAAAGCTCCTGTGGCCTATAGACTTTGACCTTACATTTGGTCACAGCATACATGCCTGTACTAGAATCACCACCATGGGCTCCAGTTTGGGGGCAAATTGTTGTTTAAGGCACCTTTGTTCTCTCTCTCTCTCTCTCTCTCTCTCTCTCTCTCTCTCTCTCTCTCTCTCTCTCCCTCTCTCTCTCCCTTTCTCTCTCCCTCTCTCCTCCCTCCTTCCTGCCCTCCTTTTCTCCCTCTTTTAAAAATTAAAGACAGGTTCTCATTATACAGTCTAGAACTCACTATGTAGACAGACTGGCCTCTAATTAATAGGTATCTGCCTGCCTCTGCCTCTGGGACCGAAGGCATGTGAAACCTCGCACTGCTATTCTTTGTGTCTATTGCTTTTTTCGGGGAGTGGGTCAAGATGGTTTCTTTGTGTAGGCTTTGCCGTCCTGGAACTTGCTCTGTAGATCAGGCTGGCCTCAACCTCAGAGATCTGCCTGTTTCTGCCTCTCGACTGCTAGGATTCAGGGCCCCTTACAGTAACTTAAGAGCTTCTCACTTAAAAAAAAAAAACATACATGTGAACTCTCACACAGAAAGTATCAATACTATTTATTACCTTTATAAGTTCTAAACTAATTTCAAGTAAATCATCACAAATAATTTTCCACAGGGAAAGTTGTTAAAATTCCAAAAGATGTTTTATAATGAAAAGCCAATACCCATGCTAAAAATGTTTTTAAAGAAGAAAAAAATTTTTTTGGTTAGCTGAAAAGATCAAATACCCATGCTAGATCAATAGGAATTCCTTAAAGAGTTACAATTTTCATGAAATTTTGGCACCAATGAATGGGCCAACTGCTTCAATTATAAGCATTCTATCGTTGTTCATAGCTAAGATTTCCCAAAGTTTAAAGGCTGAAGACAATCTTTTAATGTCTGACTTCATGTTTAGTTAAAGGTGCTTACTAATTTTCTTCCTACAGGTTTGAGGCAGAGGCACAAAGGGTAGGAAACAGATTTTCCTGCAAATGTAATCATCTCCTACACAGGCAATAAAATATTAGCTTTACCCATGGCTGGGAGACAGCTGAGTTTGTGGCTAAGTGGCGCAGTGTGCTCACAGGCTTAGGATGGCAAGCTATTCCTCAGGCATCTGTAGTCATCTGTCCCAGCTTCCTCATCTGGGACTCTACTTCAGTGGCCATCATCACGACTATGTCCAAGACTCCATTACAGGACCTCAGCCTGGTTTTGTTTTGAAGTTTTAAATTGAGGATTTTTCTTTGAAGAATTGAATCAATATTTAGATGGTATAATTCCTTTGGTGTGAATCGAATAACAATTATTCACTAACATAGCTAACTAAAATGCATATTTTTCTGTGCTGATCATGTAACAACCGATGACCAACAAGCTTAAAGGGGTGGCAAATGTCTCCTGATAGTATTTCTGATTATATTTTCATTGAACTGCCAAAAGTGTTTTCATGGAAACTTAATTTTAACAAAAACCTTTAATTTGGGGCCTGGTGAGTTGGCTCAGCAGTTAAAAGTGTGCTCATTACTCTTGCAGAGGACTGGAGTTTGGTTCTCAGCACCCAGGGAGGATGGCTGACAACTACCTGTAGCTCCAGGAGCTTTGGTCGGCCTCTCTGAGGCATGAGTAACCAATTAAATGTATGGAAAGAGGCATGCAACTATTAGGTCATGGTGAGAGATACAAGCTTACTTTTCTTCCTTCCCTCATAAATTATGTGGATAACATAGATGAGAAGGGGGGCATCTCAACTCAGTGACTTTAAATGCATCTCTTTCCCCTGAGACAAGGTCTCATGTAACTCAAACTGTCAAACCCACTATTTAGTTGAGGACAGACTTGAACTTCTGATTCCTCTGCCTTCGACTCTCAGGTGCTAGGATTACAGGTGAGCACCCTCATTCCCTTTTTTTTTGGTACTGAAGAGTGAACCTAGGGCATTATGCATGCTAAGAAAGCAATTGGGACACCTGTTTTGAAGAGTGAAAGAAAATGAGATTCTCCTGATGGATAAGCAAGAGCAGGATGAGGTGGAAGGGACTTCATTTTCTGTCATTTAGAGAAGATGAAATCAGCACGGAGGAACTTTCTTCTGAAAGGTGAGCGGCCTCTTTCAGTGCAGGGGGACACTTTGAAGATCCTCTGCTTGCTGAGAGAAAACTAGGTCACCTAGAGTGGAACAAAGATCCTGAAGAGGCAGACTCCCTTCAGCATCAGCAAGTTATTTAAAATCGAACAGAACAAAAACCTGTAATCCCCAAGAGGAACTAAACTTGAAGCCAGCTTTCTATTCCAGCTGTCACCAGATGTGTGTGAAGGAAAGACAGCCTTTCCGACAGACAGGTCTCAGAAGTACTAACATCCTTTTTCTTCATAAAGTGAATTTTGTTTTTGTTTTTGTTTTCAAGACAGGGTTTCTCTGTGTAGCCCTGGCTCTCCTGGAACTCACTCTGTAGACCAGGCTAGCCTTGAACTCTCGAACTCAGAAATCCGCCTGCCTCTGCCTCCCAAGTGCTGGGATTAAAGGCGTGCGCCACCGCTGCCCAGCTATAAAGTGAATTTTTAAAGAGACATAAATTAGAAGACACAAACATAAGAAAGTCCGAGGATCAGAGATCGTCAGAGGATGAGAGCTCTTTAAGGCAGACTGTTGGCCTGGCTCATTAGTTTTCTTCAAGGAAATCATTACAGCAGACACATAACACAAGTCCAAAACATCAAAACAAAGAATACAAAATACTCTTGACAGAAAAAAACAAACAAACTGGTGCATATGTATATGACCAGTGATTAGAACGGTGTGTGATAATTTATAATGCAACATCTGAAGCTAAAAGATAACAGCAATACTTTTGGAATTCAAAAAGGAAATGTTTTTCAAACTAAAATTCTATATCCAATGACATTATTTACCATATACAAGAATAAAGCAAAGATGTGTTTACACATGTAAACTGTGGAAATGTCTACTCCATGCTCCCTTTCTGGAAGGGCATCAGGAAGAGTGCTGCACCTAAGCAGGAAAGGAGTGCAAACCAACCACGGCTAGCCAGAGAATAGGGAGCACACCAAGGAGAGACAAATGGGGATTCCTAGGGTAGAGAGAAAGCGCAGACCAAGCTAGCCACAGGGGAGAGCCAGATTACCTGGAGGCAGAAGGAGGCTAGACAAGAAGATTACTTTCTATCATTATACAAAATAATGAAAAAAAGTCATGAATATTGTGTTAGAATAAAGACGACAAATTCTGAACCCTGGAGAGAGCGGATATAGCAAGGAGCAGAGGTGTGTGTGTGTGTGTGTGTGTGTGTGTGTGTGTGTGTGTGTGTGTATGGCTGGGGTATAGACGGGTGTGGCATGCAAGAGACCTAACACTTGTTCTTATAGCAAGAGGCCAATGAAACATAACAAAGAAGCATGAGCATATTTTTAAAAAGTAAATATTAAAATGCCTGAGAAAGTGAAAACTTCTGAGAAAAGCCCCCTGTACGGAACACTGAAAGCTGGTGGATCTTCATTGACAGTGAGCAATTCTAATTTTAAAATTATGATGTATTACCAAGCTCCAGAAAGAAGCTGCAATAAAAATACTCAAATATGACATAGGCTCAACAAGGCATGGTTTTGAGCTACCAAAAATAGGGTGATCGGACAAGAATGGGCAGTTTACCTTGCCAGTTGTATAGGTCATTTTCTGTTCCTGTCACAAATACTGAAGACAACTAGCTAACAGAGGACTGTTTTGACTCAAAGCTTTGGAGAGCTCGAGCCCTTGAGTCTGTTGATTCTGGGCCCTTGGTGAGGCAGAGCATCATGTCAGAGGCTGCTCAACTCACGGACAAGCAGCAGAGAGAGAGAGAGAGAGGGCGGGAGGGACGAGGAATTAGCTATAACCTTCACAGGCTCAGTCCCAAGAACGTGCTTCCTCCAGTTAAGCCCCGCTTCCTAACAGCTACACCACCTCCCAAACAGCACTGTCTGCTGGGGACCTAAATGTTGGGGATTGATTCTAATGCTTTGAATTAATTTGGTTCCCAAAAGCTCGACTTTTTGTGTCCAAACACTGAAGGTCCTTGTCCCCAATGGTTTTTGATTGATCAATAAAGAGCCAATGGCTGGGCAGGAAGACTGAGGTGGGACCTTTAGATTTGTGAGGGCTAGGAACAGGATGTTCTTAACCATTGAGCCAGCTCTCCAGTCCTAGTTTTTAATGAGCCCCAGTCTATTCTCTATGTATAGTTATCTGCCTGCATGTTTGTCCTTACTATGTATGCACAGTGGCCACAAATGTCAGAAGATGGTCAGATACCGTGGAACTGGACTTACTGATGTTTGATAACCACCACATGGGCCTCCTGGGGGACAAAGCTAGTGCTTTTAACTGCTGAGCCATCTCTCTAGCCACTGTTTTGAGACAGGCCTTACACTGCAGCACAAGCTGGCTCCCTTGCTTCAGATCTGGTTATAAGGTTATAAGGTTTCTGGCTAGTTTTGTTTAGCGTCAACCTATTTGTAAAGCATCAAAAACACTGAATAGGTTTTCAGACAGAACGGTAAACTAAAACCAAGTCAGTCAACCAATAAACTGTCTGACAATGTCAAAGAACCGATTAAAGGAATGGGGGCCTGCCTAGCATGCATCTCGTATCTGTAACACTGGTACTCCAGAGGCTGAGGTTTGAGGCTAACCTGACCTACATAACCTGACCTACAGAATAAACAAATACAGGAAGAATTAAATGGAATAAAGCCAAAGAGTGGAGGGAGGGAGGTGTCATGGAAGAGTTGGATGTGTGCGAGTAGGAGTTGTGATGACTTCAGCTAAGGTTAAGTGATGACAGAATGGAGGAGACATAAGCATGTTATTAAGAACGAGGTGAGAAAGATCCCCCTCCCAAACAGGTACCTAATTGCTGAGTAAAATCTCTACAGAGGAGGGCTGGGGGACACAGAATGAGCCTTTCACTAAGTGCCATTCAGGATTCTTGAAAATAAATAATTCACGTAAAGAATGATCTGGGAAGACAGAAAGGGGCCAGATCTTGCTACACAGCAGGCTGGCCATGAATCCCAAGGCTGGGATTCCAGGCATGAAGCAACGGGAGTTTTGGGGAAGCTGACCTACAGCCTTACCTTTGGGCTCCTGCTGTGCTTGCATACACACAGCATGTGCCCCATCACA